ACTGCCTCAAAACTTGTTTTATATGTGATAGCTTCCTGCAAAACTTTATCGTTGCTTTGAGTCAACTTATGAAGCCACATATCCTGTGCCGGTATCAATTCGTCGGGATTGGCACTTTTTGCAGACATATCAACCAACTCAGTATTTATCTCGACCGCTTGCTCTATATAGTTCCTACATTTTTCAATATGAGTATTAATTTTTGAGCAACGACTCTGACTCTCTATGTATTCTAAAATTATCTCGTGGTATTTATAAAGTTCGTTTTCGAGAGTGCTACGTTTCTCAAACAACTTCTTAATTTTCTTCTGAAACTTAACTTCCATGCTTAATAATTTCAGAAATAAACGACTCTCAGAACATACTGTATTTTCACTCAAGTAAATCCACAAACTTTTACCTGGCGTTAAAGTTAAAGCTTAAACTGGGCTTTGTGAAACAAGTCTCTTTCACGCGCTTTTGGGACGGTGCGGATAGTATACGGAGCGCGTGATCCAAGGAACTAGCTCCTAGAATGAATACCACACACTCAAGAGACCTATGCGACGGCTACGTTACGCTAAAGTACCAATGGGGTGGGGAAATTAAGTAGGTCGGTTGAACTCCAACAACGCACACGGAGTAAACCTGAGGATGAAAGAATTCAACTTAACTCACTTAATATCACCGTACCTGACCACTTAACATTAGTGTCGCGCAACGAAGTCAATAATCGGACGGGCTGAAACGGCTTATATTTACTTGAAGCGAACTGGCTCACAGTTTCACCAATGTGGGCGGGGGAGCAGGCAAATTGGTTAAGTTCCAACAACACACGCGGAAAAAACCTGAGGATGAAAAAACTCAACTTAATTTGCCTGATATTTCGCTACCAGACCACTTACAATAAGGTTGGTGTCATGCTACAGCACAGTTTCGCAGAATTATGGGGACGTTTTAACGAATTTTTTGGCGATTTTTTACTTTTTTCCCAAAATTTTTCGGAAAACTTTGGTCAGCAGGTTCGAGTCGTAAACCAATCCAAAAAAACTAGTCTAGTACCCCTTGTCTATGATCCGATTTTTTGGATTTTCAATCCGCTCACAATTACCCAAAAATTTGTGGTATCGGGAAAAAATTACCACTTGTAGCTTGCTTTGAGTTGGGATACACAATAGAAATTGATATGTAATTTTATCGCACAGAAAGATTTTGAAAAAAAAACTAGAAGAGTCTTACAGTTTTTGACGATTTTGGAGATTTTCGGCACCGGAAATTTCTCTCTCACGAGTCTGCACAGCTACTTGCACGATATCTTAGTTGACAGTCAGGATACCTGTTTTAAGGCCTCCGATCCGCTCCTTTCGTATTGCACTCTGATCCACCAGGACCGGTTTGAACCAATCAGAATTGAGAACAGTGGCAATTACTGCATACATATCCCTGTCATCTTCCACCCTTTTCGGACAGAGCAGAAAGAGTCAACAAGTACACTTTACTACCTTCTTCAACAACCGAATCGAAATCACAACACAGAAAGACTCGAACGATTTGGCGATTTTAATAGTCTCTGTATGTCCAAAGAAGCCAAACTCTGTGTCCCTTGTGTCGACTTCGTGCTCTTCGGTCCCTCGTGTTAGAATGCTGAATCGTGTCCCTTGTGTTGGAATGCTGAATCGGGTCCCTTGTGTTGGAATGCTGAATCGGGTCCCTTGTGGGGCGCCAAAAATGTGCGCGTCAATCTCCAAGATTATAAAAAAAACGGTTTTTAAACACTTTAATTAATGAGTATTTTCTCGGCAAAATAACTCCGGAAATTTGAAAATATAAGGATAATTTATAATGTTTAACAAGCTTTATCATCGGTAACATCGGCCACCATAAACTGCATAACTCAAAGCAAGCTGCAAAAATGGCCAGCATTTGTCCTTGAGACAAATTGCTCTTTTTAAAGGTCAGCCTTAACCAAGGCTGAACCAAATTAGAGGGCGAAAATACGGTTAAAAATGGGTTTTGGGGGGACCGAACCTGGTTACGGAGCATCCCATCAAGTTCGGTGCACATTCGAGTTCTAGAAAGGAAATGACCTAGGCGGGATTCGAACCGGCGTCGAAACCGCCGGGACGCACCATGTATACGCTCGGCTACTGTCCCTATATGCATTTATATTTTGGTTCAGTTTTATGCATTTATACTCTCGCACATTTACATTTGCGCTGCAACAAGGCGCGTTATCTGGCTGTGGATCACTGGGAGATTTTAATGATTCACATTCTGTTACTTTTGACTTCAGTTTTCTGAATAAAACGTTCAGCAAGTAGAAAATTGTTTCAACTTCGAAGATCTAATTTGAGGAAAGTTTTCCATCAATCGCTCCAGGGGCCGATTAAGGGTGGGGAGGGGGGGGGGGCGGAAGCTCTTCCCTCAGGGATTCGACCCCCTGCCGACCCAAAGGGTCCCCCCTTTGGTACTTTTTAAGAAATCCAATTTTAGGCCGACCGACCCTAAAGTTTTTCTGAAGGCGGCTTCGACGCCAATATATACTAACTTCGAGGGGGAGCGCGCGCCAAAAAAAAACTCGATTTTTTTTGTCAAAATTTTCCAAAAAGGTCTCAAAAACGGCTTTTTGACCAGTTTTTTCTAAAACTTGCCTGCGGCGCCTAAAATTAGGCCATAACAGCGTCTTTTTAGTGCTTCAGGAGAGCTCGGGGCTCTTTTTCCTTTTCCCCCCACCTGCAAATTTTTACATGTAAAATTGTTGACTACATTGTCCGATTGCTATGAAAATTTACATACAGACTAATAAGGCCACGACAAACATATTTGGTCTTCATATTTAACCTCGCGAAACCACTCGTTACACTAATATATTGAAGGTCGTGTGAGGTGGGGGGGGGGGAAGGAAAAAGAGCCGAGCTCGGAAAATCAATTTGGTCGACTTAAAAAAAAAGGTCGACAAAGTTGTTTTCGAAAATTTTTTGAAAATCCGCCCCCCTCGAGAAAATCCTAGATCCGCCCCTGAATCGCTCCCTGAATGAAACGAATACTCCCCATAGACAATTATGAAAAACAGTAAGGTACTCAATTAGTATTAAAAAAAAATTAAGCCAAAATTTTGATTGCCAACTTTTACAGCAATTAGTCTCATTCTTGTTTGCGCGGGTTGACTTCCATAGACCGAAAACGCCAAGCAAACAATTCCATAAACCAAGTCTTTGAAAAAATATTTGTCATAAAAATTTCATAATTTTGCTAAAATGAAGTCCTCGAATTTTCGAAGAACTGTCTCTTGTTTTGGCATAAAATTCGATGTATCGTCATAAATAGAAAAAATTGCCAAAAAAACTGCTTATTATACAATTTCCAGAATGACTAGATTTTTTTTTGATGGCGATACTATCGAAGTTGCCCCAAAAAAGTGTTGTTTTTTTTCAATCGCAAAACAATATTTGTACTCAAACAACAAATTTCTTTTAAAAAATTTGCCTGCAAAATTAGTTTTTTATTGTGTGCATAACGTAGTCCTGGACACACAAAAGTTAATTTTTTCCATTTCTCAGGATAAAGTTTTCAAAACGCCCATTTATTTTGTACATCAAGTTTTGTATGCCTTGATCAATGCATGATAATTAAAAATTCAATTTAAAAAAGTGCTTATTGAAAATTTTGCCAAAATTTAAAAGTTTGATATTTTCATTATAACATTTGTTTGAGACAAAGCTAAGACAATTAAGGCCGTTTTCCATGGATGGTAAATGCTAGACAGTCAACTTTTGCGGAACCAAGGTTTTTGCCACTTGCGTTCGAACATAACCCAAAAGTTTTGAGAATCTAAATTTTTTTAAAAAAAATCAACATTCTTGGTTTATGAAAAATGCTAGTCTTGAAGTTTTCATATTTAAGAACTCACTGCTCATAGAACTCTTATTCAGTTTTATGTGCTTATAGAATTGATGAAAATTTTGTGACTAACGTTTTCCATAAATGAAAATTGTATTATTAGCATTTTCGGCCAACCCGGGTTATTTAGTGTTCGGAAATAGTGAAACAAGTATTTTAATTATTTCATTGTTAAAACGTAGTTGTAACTGATGGCAAGTAGCGCTGCACTGCAATGGTAAAATCAGAACGGAAAGTTCTACCAGAACTAACATTTCAAATGCAGCAAAAATTTCAGTTTGATTGAATCAATGAACGGCGTTTGATAACTGTTTTTGCCGAAAAAAAGGACTGGATCCAATCTTCAACGCCAACTCACCATTTTTTGAAGAAAAACTAATTTAAATAATTTAATTGTAAAATTTATAAAATTAGACATTCAGATAGAACAAGGATAACCGGTTGCTGTGCAAAAAACACAGAATGGTCCTAGTCTCTAAAAAATAAAAAATAATAATTCAAACCAGTGCGATTTGTTCTAATTGGTGTGATAAAAAAGATTTGAACACAAAAAAAACTAAGAATATTTGACATTCATAGTAAGCTAGGCCAATTGGAAAAAAAATATATTTTTAAAATGCTGAAAGTTTTCCCTGAATTTTTGAAGTTTTTGATTCCGAGAATGGCACTAAAAACTTCTAATGTAAGCCGGCACGATCAGTTATTAGTTCGAAATTAGACCAAAAACCAAAACTTCAAACGGTGTTTCTCGACATTTTTTCATTTCGTTCAAATCACGACTGAAAAGGATTTAAAATGATATATCACTCGAACCATTCTGATGCGATTTAGCGGTAGCTGATTCAGCGTGAAAACAAAAAATACCAAAACACATCCGAATACAAAATTCCTCTACATTTTTCCAAAGGTCGGAACAATAACCTTGAACACAAGTTAGAGCCAGCATCCAACATCCAACCAAAAAGTACAAGCAGAGCATGTTCGGACATCTATTATTCAGAAACGTGGTAAAAAGCGATAACATTCCTATTTTAAAAATCTGTCGGGTAATTGAACGGTAAAGATTACTACGTAAATAACAATAGTTAAAGGGCAAGTAAATGCAGTAGAAATGCACTTACGTGTCTACGGGACTGTTCTGTCTGGTGTAGGTCACAGTGATGGGTCTGCACTTAAGAGTATCTTCATTGAATCCACCTGTCACAAGATAGGGCATAAAATATTACTAATATACAGGGTGTTTTCATTAGATAAAGTAAAATGAAATGATCCACGTATTTTAAAAACGAGCAAACAGGCTTAAGTGTAAGCACAGAAAAAAGATATTTGTCAAAGTTGATATTTGTTTTAACCCCAAGCAGTACCAGATCAGGTCAATGTGAAAAGCCCCAAAAAATCTTTTGCCTTTTTTAATGTTGTAATTTATTTTAGTGTCCAAAAAATGAATATCAGATCGTGAAATAATAGCAGAGCGAAAAAATATTTCAGCATCCGTTAACATTCACTGGCAAAAAGAGTCAAATTTTGTTGGGGCTATTTTGGGTAACAAAAAACATGGAAGCGAATAAGGCTTTGAGCTTTCAGCTGCGTTCAGTTTTTTTTAATTGGGTCCACTGATAAGGGATAAATACACGTTCAACCCGCTTTGCGAATAAATTCAGTTACCATATTTTGTAAGCTCTTGGATCTTGAGGAAATGATTGCTGTTTCAGTATTTCCTGTTCATTTATTGAACAATCAGAGGAAATTACGACAATAAAACCGACAATAGAATCAGACGTACTTACCGCGTTTAAAGTAAGATTTATTGATATTGTTTGATTAGATTTCATTCATATCCTAAGCGATGCAGGTTGTAAAAATATTCCTTAAAGCACGCACATCTGAAAAATGCCCCGTTTTTTCCCTATTTCCGGGAGATTTCTTTCAAGCTAGTTCAATGCCGTAGTTATAAACGTTTGCTTTGTTATTTATCGCTTGTGGATAAATCTTCTAAATCTAATCGCTAAAGCCACACCTTCCTTTATTCAGCCACATATCAAAAACATTGAATACGGCTCTTTTTTGAAATTAGGTATAATCAAAAAATAGGTTTTCGATTTTTCCAAGTTGATATTGGTATCAAGCAAAAACACTCAAATTTTCATTTAACTTCTTAAGGTTGCGAAAGTTTTGTACTGAGCCAAAAAATTTGATGGGTAAATCATAATCGATGAGTCTCAAGGTTCTGAAAAACGATTAATTAAGCGTTTCTCCAAATTTGGCTCAATGCTCCATTTTTGAAATCGTAACTTTGCACTTCTTGTATCTTTTGAACTTTTAACTCGAAGACACATAAGAAAGAAACGTTCGTAGAACATTTCCCAGTTAACGGTCACTTTAGTATATGGTGACTGTTAGGTGAGGGTTGGTTTAGGGTAAAAGGGCATAGGTGAAGAAGGAAGTACCTTGATGGAATGCTATTAATCTTCAAATATCAACACCCATGTGATCTCAAAAGTTCTTATACGCAACTTTCTTTACAGGTTACATGACAAACTATTTCGTCCTAACGAAGAAGTATTTTGTTTTCTGACCGATTTAAAGTTTTTCTAAGATAAACTCACCCCGAACTACAATTCCATATCCGAACTTGTCTCGCTCCAGCAATAACTCCACACTCTTCACCCTAACACTGCAGTTGTTGCTGCTGATGCTGTTTTTGTTGTCGTTGTTGTTGACCTTATTCGGCAGCTTAGAAGGCACGTGGTACTTCACTTCCATTTCCAGCTTCTGTTCACACTTCCTCACGTATTCGTTCAGCTCGTCACACGATTGGAACACTTCTGACTTTTGTCCTTTGAAGGAAAAATTTGCAAGAATCATTGTTGGTTTTGAAAACAATTTGGTGATGATTATCGATAACACCTGAGTTTTTGAAATAATTGGGTCCAAAATTCCCGTGTTTGTGAACTAAAAGTCGCCCACAAATTGTAAACAGTCGACTGGAAGTTCGAAAAAGCTGTCAATTTGATCGAATGATTATAACTTTAGACCAGGTTTGGCTTCAACTCGAAAAAATCCAACTGTGTTTGTTTCAAAACAGAAACTCAAATGGCGGTCAGATATAATTGCCGTCTAGATTTTGATGGCAGATTTGTGAAGTTTTGACACATTATGGCTCTTATTGATACAATTCGCCTGGAATGTTTTTGAACATGTTTGTACTGAATTTGACGGAATTCTACTGGAAACAACTGGTTTAAACAAAGGTATTCGTAAGTATCTTCAAATGAATAATCATAGAAAAATGGCAAATTATAGTTTTCTAAGCATTTAATTAGTTATTTTTAAAAAAATGAAAATGTGCTTCTTAGAACAGGAACAAAAATTGCCGGATAACGAGAAAATATTATAAAATGTTCACGGCGTTCTCAATTGACCTCGAAATGCAGTATGACCCCGTATGAAGACATCAATAGCATACTTTTTTGCTAAATGTTTCCTCGAAAAAACAGCAAAAACTAGCCAATCTATGGCCAAAGAAGAAATAACTTAGAAAATGAAGACCGAGCCAAATCATCTTTGATTCAATCATGTTGAAATCATTCAAACTGTCCCAAGCGCCATTCATCTTTATTGTCTGAAAACACTAAGTGATTAAAAGAAAGCATTTCGATATAAACAAATGTCCGTGCCTAGCCGAAACCATATCCTTTGACTCTACCGTAAAATCAATTGTAGGCAATTAATTATTTATGGCATTCACAATGGCATCTTAGGTAAAATGTTGAACAAAGGATAATTGAACTTCAGAATAGGATAAATAAATGCTTACCATTGATTGAAATGAGCTGATCTCCTGGCGACAAGAGTGTCGAGTTAGACGCCACTGAGTTGTCTTCTATGCTCTTAACTCGATAAATATTCTGAGAGGAAGAGCATCCCCCTTCCGTGCTATCTGCTGTCGTGAGGTCCCCCCACTTGCTGCAATCCAGGGGGGCGGTGGCGTCAGTGTTTATTGTTTTGTGAAGAGTGTCGGGAACCGCTGAGCATAATGGTAAGTTACAATCAGTCATGTTATAATAAATGAATTAAATAACCAATAAGTCAAAAAGTGCATTTAAAAAATCATTAAAGGAAACAGTAATTATGAATTACAGTGTGAGCATGTCACTGAGTTTTTTATCGGTAATTATTAGAGGACATTTTCTGAGCAATTTTGTCGATCATTTCTTTAAGTCAAAATTTTCTGGTTGCATTTTCAGCCGAAACCCTACAATGGCAGCATTTGAGTAACTTTTCTATGCCGCTCGCATTTGTTTTTTTGGAAAAACGTTAGTTCTGAGCAATTTTAGACTTAAAAAAAAAACTTTAGGGTTGTAAGCGATAAATTGCTGTCGTAAACTAGTACTAAGGATAGGAACCTTCGGAATAATTCGGCAATCAGAACTTAGGAAGAGGGATGCCGTATCCAGTCCCTTCCCCCTCCTCCCCTCTAAATCTAGACTCGCGACTTCCCAAAATGTTGACTATGCATTTGCAACTTTACAGGAACTTCGCTTTTCAATTTAGATGAATCAAGTTAACTCATTTCAAACTTCATAAAATTCAAGTTGAGTTTTATAACACAAGCGTTTTGAGGCGAAGTATTACAATTTTCGATCTAACTGTTGTCTAGAAAGCATGAGTGAATTTGTTGGCACATAATGAGCGTTGTTTGAAGCACCGTTTTCATGATTGAACTCATTGTCCGATGTTATGAAATTTCTATGGATAATGGGAAATTGGGCTCAGAAGAGGATCATTCATTAAATGTGTTCAGGAGGCAAGCAACTTTTTGGTCCCACTTTTTCAGATGTGAGAGCCCCTATGATTGATGAAGTTTAGCTTTGAGGACCAAATTTTTCAGTTAATATCCGGCCGTGACAACTTGTACCGAGACAGCTGAGAAAGAAGTCATAAATAATGATGGGGGCAGGCTTTCTTTCGATTGGAAGCTCGTTCATGCGCCGCGAATTACATAATAATTATACCATGCAAAAACAATAAAAAAGTCATTCCCATTGGGAAATTGCTTTGTAAGTACTCTTTTTATAAAAGCTTCGTTCTTCAGATTTCTCCCCTCTTATTGCAAAGGGGAAATCATTGCTAGGTTAGCTAATTTGCATGCTTACCCGTTTAGTTATTTGTTTAGATGAGAGTGAATTCTCTACGAGAGGTAATCGTGGGGTTATAATTCACTTTTTTGAAGTTAGCTTTGTTTCTGCGCCTATTTGCGCCGGTGACTTTTGGTCAACTTTTTTCTAAAAACTTCAGAAATATTTGTGCTCGATCTTAACTTTTTTCTTGAAGATTTATTATCTTATAGATTTCGAATTTTTCACTAGCCACATTTGAATGAAGTATTTCTGTCATCAGAAAAAGTGTTGGAGTTGGAGTTCTGAACTCAAAACTAAAAACATCTTTTTTGTGATGGTTTTTTGTAAATTTATAGCCTTTTGAAGATTGCCAATTTGGCTAAAATGAGAAATTTAACGCGCAAAAAGTTGCATGAGCAGCGATTCAATTTGAGATCAGCTATTTGAAACCAACATTACATTTCTAGACACTTAATACATCACTGTGTACTTTACATAGCGTGTGAGGAGATTGTTATAAGAAAACCATCTCATAGTCTTATTGTTTCCAGTATTTAGTTTCATTTTTAGTTTCTTATCTTATAATTTCATTTTTGTGTTTTATCAATTACGGCTTCTCTGAAGCAGTTTTGTTGTGTTGAAGATCAGAAAAATAGGTAGAATATTTTTGCTTGAGGTCAATTGTTGACTTTTTAACTCTGTGTTCTTGACAAAAACTTTTATACGATTTGAAAAAAAATTGTTGTCCCGAGTTCAATCGAAACAATTTTTCCCGGTTATCAATTTTTGTAAAGTCATGAGAGTGTTGAAGTTGCTAGTCTGGCCAGTTTGGGATATATTTTGCATTCGTATAACACGAGTAAAAAACAATACAAGACTGCTCGTATCAGGGCGAAGCCCTGAATGTTCCGACTGCCTTTTGAGATTTCAGGAGCAGTCTTAGGAAGAAATACAAAAACAGGATAAAAGAAATACAAAAACAGAAAATTATTTTTTTTGACCAGTTTATCGATTTTTTGAAGCAAAACTTTGTCTACATCTTCAAGAGCGGTTGAAACAATGAAAAAATTGCCCTGATAAACGGGCAATTTTTTCAGGTTTGGATTTCCTAATTTGATCAATTTTGAAACGTTTTTTTTGTTTCACGCTTTTTTCTGCCCCGTCAATTAGCAGAGTCGACTGCCTAACACTTACAATAGGAATTTTTGTCATTTGTCAGTAATAGCAAAAAAAAAATTAAATATAAAAAATAAAATGAAAACTTTTTTTCTAAAATTTGAATTTTTTTTAGATGAAAATCATCCCTCCATACGCCATATAAAGTACAAAAAGATAGATTTCGCTCCTATTATTATATCAATTATGGCATATAAGCTTTCTTGAACCAATTTGGAATGATTTCTAAGGCGGATTAAATCTCCGCTTACGCGTTAATAGCGCGAAATATATCGCGCGTTAATTGTTCCAAATTGGCCAAAATGGCAATCATTAAACCCCCATAACTTTACGAAAAGTGGTAACAGGTAAAATATCTTTTCAAACTTGAGCTCAGGACAACAATAGCTTTCGAATGATATTAAAAAAAATTCCGTCAAAAATGGCTAGTTAAAAAGTCAAAATTTGTCTGAAGAAAAAAAACCCACCCCGAGCACAAATATTCCGTTACTTTCGTATCGAAAGTCGGAACAATAAGTAAATCCAAATTAAATTTGAGCCAATAATTTGGTTTTGTTATAAGAATACGGGAGGCTTAATACATCCCTCTGTAATTTACATAGCGTGCAGAGCGATAAAAGAAATACAAAAACAGAAAATTATTTTTTTTTGACCAGTTTATCGATTTTTTGAAGCAAAACTTTGTCTACATCTTCAAGAGCGGTTGAAACAATGAAAAAATTGCCCTGATAAACGGGCAATTTTTTCAGGTTTGGATTTCCTAATTTGATCAATTTTGAAACGTTTTTTTGTTTCACGCTTTTTTCTGCCCCGTCAATTAGCAGAGTCGACTGCCTAACACTTACAATAGGAATTTTTGTCATTTTTCGAAACCTCGATTTTTGATACAAAGTGCGACAGCTAGAAAAATAAATACTAGTTTTGGCCAGTTAAATTGCGGTTAGGTAATTAAGTGAGCTTACAAGCTACGCCGGCAAAATTACTGACCATGAACAGGTCTGATCACAGCTGTCTCAGAGTGGGAATTTATTTAGTTCTTTTTATTGGATGAAAATAAAATTTCAATGTTCAAACTTAAAATGTTTGACTGCTTAGAACTCAATTCAAAAATTGCTGTAGCCTACAAACGAAAAAAGATAATTTTACAAGAAAATTTTGAAAATAAAATTTGGATCCTACGTAATCAAATGAAAAAAAAAATCTTATTTTTTTTATATTTTCAAAAATTATAGCTGAGGGTAATGATAAACATTTTTAGGTCTATCAACAAGTGACTCATTTGAGTTGTTGTGTACCTCTATCAATAATCAATCGCTATACTACGCAGCTCTAAAACTTTGCTCAACTTTTCCAGATTGAGCTGGTCAAAGTTTAAATACGACTTTCGCATATGAGATCTTAGAACACTGTTTTTACTAGTAATTGCAAAAAGATCTCCTAAGCGAAAAAAAAATATTTTCCAATCATTTATTTTATACAAGGAAACTTTTACAGGCTCATAAAAATTTCTTAATAGACGCTTCAATTTTTGCCAAAACTGGAGGGTGTAAAATAATTTGCACCGAATTTTTTTTAGTTGTTTCGTAATTGTTAGAGAAAGTGACTGCGTTTTTTCAGCGATAAAATTTCTGCGTTCAACAAGTATCTGAGGAATAAAGAAGCCAATTTCCGTCAATTTATAGTTTGCATGCGTAGTGACCATTGAATGGTTCCTATGGCTCAAATAAAATTCTATTAAGTGGCCACTCGGTTCTGTTAGCCCAAAAAAGTTCTCTTTTTTGGGTTTTCTAGCGTTTTTTTTAAAAAAGTTCAATCGATCTACTGTATCAAAGACTTTTTTAAGTCAATGAAAGTGCTTTGTGTTGACTTTGTTTAATCGTGAAAATGACGTCTTGTGTCTTTGGTAAATTCAACTTCTGCTTTAGTTTTTTCTCAAAATACCAGCAAACCAATTGGTTTTTGTTGAAAAGCTCCAATTTGTTGAACATTTAGATCATGCGTTTTAAGTCTTTCGTAGAACCTATCAATGGCATTTTTTGGTCTAAAGTTCAGGGATCTGCTTGGTTGCCTTCTGCATAAAGTGGAGTCAACTTGGTTAACTTGCGCCAGCCTGGAAAAAAGTTTTGTCAAAAATTTTGAAACTATTTGATTTTTTTTGTACATAAGTCCACATGAAGTTTCTCAAAAAATTTTTTATTCAACCCATAACAAATTGAACAAGATTTCACTTTGCTAGATTCAAAAATCTTGACCAATTTTATCAGATGAATGAAGTGCATGTACTGTTAGAGAAGAGTTGGCCTATCTTTTAACGTTAGTAACAATTTTGCGTCAGTTATTGAAAACATTCAATGAAACGCATCGAAAAATTTCTTATTTTCTAATTTCCCCATGATTTTTTGGAAATTTAAAAAAATTTGCTATCTGCTTTTACGAACGTTAGTTTCGAATTATTTTTTTTATTTAAATTTTTTATCTGGCTACCCTGTTTTTTTTTTACTAATTTTCTGTCTTATTAGAACCATAAAATTATTTCAGACAATTTTTTCTAGCGCCAACAATTTTTCCTTGGTGATCTACCTAGAACTTGCGTGGTTTGATTTCGGGTAACTTCTTGTATTTCTGTTTTGAACATATTAAGGTATTCTACGAAAAAATTTTTGCAGATTTTCGAGAAAGTTTTTATTTTCAAAAAAAAATCTTCTTGTCATTTTATCAAGCATAGCATCGA